TTCTTGATAGGCTTGCCTGACCGAGGACTGAGACAATTTCTCCGTTGCCAATCGTAGGGGACGCTTTGTGCGCCTCCCGGTAAAGTTCATGGAGAAACGACAGCGTACCAAGGCATGATCAGAGTCGACACAGGTACTCCAGTAGGAGCGGCAATCCAGGATGGAACCACGCCATCTGTAACTTATGGCTATGTGGTCAATTTGGGTCCATCGCTGGCCAGCTACAGGAGGACGCCAAGTGGCACTTCGGCGCCCACTGTGTCTAAAAGCAGTGCTAGTAAGAAACAACTGTGCTCCGCACACAGTTGCAGCAGACGCTCGCCGTTGTCAGTCCGTTCGGAGTTAAGTCCATACTTACCACCTAGCTGAGCTTCTGAAGAGCTCAGACGCCCTACTTGTGCGTTCATATCCCCTGCAAGTACTATAATATCTGAACTAGTAGCACTGCGTAGTAGCGCGTTCAGTTCGTGATAGAAAGTGTCCTTGACAGCATTAGAACTGCAGTCGGTGGGAGCATAAACGGAAATCACAAACAAACAGCGTTTTGTACAACTTCGCGAATTCACCTTAGCTGATGTCGTCAAACGGGCTGCACATAAACGGCTGTTCACCGGAATCCACTCAACCAACGATGACTCAGCCTTGGAGCTGAGAGTGATACCTACACCAGCTTGACCCGTGAGTGCTGCATCGGCATCTCCGGATGTGTGCAACCAATAACGAGAGGATAGGCCGGGTGCAGTTAATTCAATAACCCCGTTAGGGTCATTGATCCTAGTTTCGGACACACAACACACATCAACACCCAATGTGTCCAAGGTGCGTGCGAGTGCAGCCTGTTGACCTGTTTGTCTTAGAGTGCGAACATTGAATGTCGCCATGGAAACGGGACAGCGTGGCCTTTTATGGGACTTTTGCCGATAGGCGTCCGATAGGTGCTGTGGGATGGTGGCTGCAGATGGTTCTACTCCAGTGGCACTTCGGTTGCTGTCAATTAAGCTGGGAATTATAGAAGGAAGGTTAGTAATGAGGGCCGGGATGGGAATAAGAGAAAAAGGGAGGCGCCAGCAGTAGCATGTTTTCGCTTATCCGCCCTTCTGTATGTAGCAAATAAAGCGACCCTTGATAATCTGCGCGACGGCCGATGCAGGATGAAGTTTATGTTTGAAGAAAATGTCATGCTTGTATGTGGGCTGAGATACTGCCAGGGCGCCCAGACCTAGACATGAGGACGATTAGGGTTCTCATCCAAAGCCTTTGGCTCAAAAGACTGTCCGCAAAGAAGCGGGGAGGTGGCAATGATTTAATTTTACAGAAATGGACGCCATCCCATTTCAAACCCCCAACCTGGAGGACCAGGATACTGAGTTTGTCTGACTTCTCACCATTGACCAACCTGGCAGGAATAGCTCTCAAGATGCTCGGAGGCATCACCCAGTATAGCTCAATGGGTCAATGAGGTACGCAAACCGTCGCACCACCTTAAGGTTCAGTCTCGTTGCGGCGGAATCTATTGACCCAGGATACGCAATCGTACTTCTGTTCCTGTCATTCGATTGATTGCCTCATAAAAAGCTGCTAAAAAAGAATGTTTCCTTTGGAATTCAGGAGCCTCTCCTAGGATGGCTACTGTCATGCCGGAGCGGCCGTTCTCAGGTCGTTACCGTAGGCGACTACCACTCTTCACCACGTCCAACCACTAGTGGTATTATTCAAGGGAGTGTACTTAGTCCGTTACTATTCTTGCTCTACGTCAATGACATCAGTGCGGTTATCAGTCATGGCATGCCTTGTTAATGGTAGATGACATAAAGATAGTCTACAAATTCCGACGAGCTGAACTTCAAGATACACTACTGCTAATACAGGAAGACCTCCACTCCGTTGAGGAATGGTGTGACACCTGGATGATGAAGTTCTCGGCGAAAATATCTAGAATCATGTATCGCGGCTGTTCGATACCCGAGGGATCAATTACACTCAACGGCCGCAAGCCAGTATGTGGGAAACGAGGGATCTATACTCAGAGAATAAAGGATTTCGCAGACACAAAAACTGTCCCTAGCATTGTTTATCAAATCGCTCCACTATTATACCCTTCGGGAAACTTCTGCGCAATACATGCGTCTAACACCCAAAAAATGATGACACCATTTTGAGGTGGAAAATTAAGCATGTCGGGTCTTGGATTCAACTTGTAACATTCTGTTAATATACGTCTATCGTTAATTTTATACTGCGCTATGAGTGTTAGACAAACTTACTAAACGTGCTCCTATATTTTGCCTTTTGAGCACTTACAATCAAATTGCGTAGCGGCGGCTCCGTTTTCTAGCATTTTTTGAACCCAACGAGGTGTTTGTAGATGTAGCTAAATTCATAAAACTAGGTCCAGGTAAATCTAAATTGCAATCTGCATGTTTTAGTCCCTTCGGTACCGAGGATTGCCGCATTCAATGTTCCGAAGTTTGCAAGCATGTGCGAACAGTTTCCACAGACTTAAAAAGCATCCCCCAGTGCCAAGGATTTACTTCTTCATTTGATCGAAAGTAGAATGCCATCCGCGAAGTAAACTGCATGCGTGATTTTTTGGAGTACTCGTAATGTTATTTGGTTCATTGACCATGTAACCTGTTTCGGACGATGTTATCAGCAAGGGTTTCTGTAGTGCCATGGACAAAATGAGGGTCCAGTGTCGGTGAGAGATACTAAGCAACCGCCACCTAAGGAACCGTTGCATGACGTATAAATGTAACCATATTACATGCGTTGAAAAAGCTTTCTCATACTTCCAGAAAGACTTAACGGATCTTAACAAAGGGTCCGGGAGTGTTACTTTTATATCTGCACGCTGCGTTAATGATCAGTATGACACAAGGTAGAAAAACGTTTCCCATCACCAATCTACCGATATGATTAAATTGTATGGTTTTTCCAGAATGTCTGATTTCCGTCCGACAACGGAGTGAAGTCGGTGTGGGAAACGAAAGCTGCACAGTAGAAAAACAGTGCAGCCAGGATGTTAAGAGTATGATGAGAGTGATGCAGATAGGGTAACATAATAGTTTCCCTTAACATAGTAACTAGCATGAGTAAGTTGCGAGATTTTTCCTGTGTCCGATTTTCATCCGATATCGGAGTGAAATCGGTGTGTGGGAAAGAAGGGCGTTACTGCGAGACAAAAACGGTAACCTAAATGCTAAACCCCTGCATACCTGTGTGCAACAGACATCATCATTATCCTGGTCGGATGGCTGCTCAGCACTACGGATTTACATACTAATTAATAAGAATGTAAGTGCTTCGCTACCGTGCGACCACAACAAGTAGCACGTGGGCTGAGCATACCGCGAGGACCCTCACCCGTACGCAGATTCGAATCTGCGCCGCAAGATTACGAAACAAGCTAGTTACCTTTAGGCTACGGGCCGAATGAAGATTTACAGCCTCAGAAATTGGCGTTTCTGGGTACAAGGAAAAGGGTTACTAGGTTTCTGCCACAAATTGCGCGTGAAACATCGCGAAGACAGCAATGGATAGGAGTAGAGAATGGGAGGAGACGGAAACAATATGGGGGCATGCGGTCCGATTTTCACGGAGTCCGATTTCCGTCCGAAATTTGGCCCGTTGTAGCAATTTTCGGACGGAAATCAGGCGGTGTACAAGTTGAAATCGGTCACTCAGCGGACACCCGTGCTATCACGGTGTGATCAGAGGTATCTAACTTAAAAACATTTTCGCTGTAAACCTGTATTGACGCAAGATAACCGCAGCAGGTTTTCACTGGAAATAGCGTAGTAAGCCCAGATAAGTGGCTTGCACATGTTATATAAGAAAGGACAACAAGGCCACTAAATATTTGCAGTGTAGGGGAAGACATAAGGACTAACATGCTTTGCCAGAATAAGAGATGAAAGAATACATATCTAGTGGCGACTTTGAATGGTAGTAATCCACAATAAAGAATTGTGTGCCCGGAAAAAAGACGTGAAAACGGTCTGTCTTCTGAATCCAAGCGTTGGTAACAACGCGTTATTCAAAGTTGTACAGTACACACACATCGCTCAGTAGATCTACTTAGCCAAATTACTTAACGGTGTCCTCAACACTTTTCGATTATATGAGGTGTAGGACAAGGAACGTTAGAAAAATTTTGAGCGAAAGTTATGCAAAACGCGATGACAGAAATAACTGGAAACTGGTTAAACCCAAAATGCTTCGAATTCGTCTTGCTCTCACTCTAACCACTCGCGTAGTCAACGGATGGAACGACTTGCCAAAGCATGTGGTCGATGACCAGACTGAGGAATGTTACAAGCGTGTTAGATTCTTGTCTTGAGTACGACGGGCCCTTGCAGCTTCCACTGTAACTGTCATGGTCTCTTGTGGAATACCGCACAGCAAAGAATCGCGACCTCCACACAATGATCGGGAAGCGATGGAGCTGAAAAAGGATTTCTCCTGCTCTCTACAATCCTATGATCCTAAAACTGTTGGCTAAACATACTGAAGGCCAAACAGTTGAATGTGATGTAACTAAAAGACTGATATCCTTTATAATATGAACAGACCTTGGTACAACGTGGGCATTAATTGGTTGGACAGGGTGTGATGCGGTCTTTGTTTTAGGTCCATCAGTATTTCAAAGTTCGCCAACTCCTGGTTCAACGACCCGCCGAAGACGGAACACTCACGGGATAATCCTATCGTTCCTGTCCTGCTTGAACTTGAACTTGATGAGCACAGGCAAATATTTTGTGGAGTTCAAAGGACGCTTGTGCTCACTCAGCAGTACGGTAAGATAATAGTACAGCATGGTGCCCTGCCTATCCCAAAAGCACAATTTATACACCGAAGTTATTATACATTCCTATATTAACGGTGTATGTGTACCCTTAGGATAAAAATAATACACTGGAAAAGGTTTTTTTGAGGAAGCTTGTTTTAGGAAACGAAGCGTCAGTGAGATGCACAAAAGGAAACAGTTACGGTAGACTAACCTGTTTGTTCTGGCGAAACTGAAAAGTCTTTCTTCAAGTAGGCAGAATATTCAGAAGCAGAAGACGAAGGAAACAGAAACACGACAAGAGTCAGAACGGTCGGTGCGAGAGGAGCCATGGCATGCCCTATTCGTAGGCAATCGGAGTCGGTGAACTAACGGGTTGCAGTTTGTCACCTTGATATTTCACTGATAAAAGAAAAGGTCAAAGAGAAAATATTGAGACTTGATTTACAAACAAGCCAAAAACAAAACTACTATTTTGCCTTTTAGAAAAGTAAAAGAACGTTTCAATTTTTAAACGGTGGTATTATCCTGGTCTGTGTGAAGTTCAAGTTCAAGTTCATTTCGGACCAGAACGATAGGCGAATAATGTGAAGGTTTTTAAACTCCTATCGTTTGGTTAGTAATTGGTAGCTCTGCTCCAGATGGTGAAAGGACCGCCTCATACCCTGTCCAAACAATTACCGCCCACGTTTTCTTGCCCAACATCCCCTGTCCGGTCTAATTAGATGAGTTAAAAGAGGGAAGCGTTGGCTAAGAAAACGAGCGGAATGTCAGTTAAGTAATAAAAATACCAAGGTGTGAGAAGAAAGGAAATATACGAAGAGAAAGTTGAAGTTACGATTCAGGTAGGAGAATGGGAAGTTATGTAACAGGTCAGGTCATGTCAGGTCAGGTCAGATGGACGATAGAGGCTTCCGCCTAACGAGCCTCCAGTTATTGTGCCGGTAAGTGAAGCGACCCAGGCACTTCGACGTTGGATTGTCTCTTCTTGCTTCTGCAATGGAATGAAGCAAGAACAAGAGCAATCTCTGCACTTTCATATGCCAGCATCAAAATACACTACATATTAAAGTACAACTACAATATCTCTGAAAAAGGATGGACCAACAATTGTCTAAGCCCCTTTTGAAGGCTTCTACGGTCTCAGACTCCACTAAATCAGAAGAAAGTTTATTCCAGTAGTTAACTACCCGGTTCGTAAAAAACTTTGCCCTGATGTCCAAACGAGCTCTGTGATGTTTAAGCCTCAGGCGATGCCCGCGCAGGTGGTCTGACGTAGCCAGTTCAAACAGATGGGTGGAACTAATACCACTAAGTCCCTTAATGATCTTAAACGTCTCTATCAAATCCCCTCTCAACCTACGCCGTTCCATGGAAAATAATCCTAAGCTACTTAGACGATCTTCAAAAGACTTCCCTCGTTGACCTTCAATCATCCTGGGCGCAAGTTTCTGAATCTTTTCTATACAAGTGATGTCACTACGGAGGTACGGTGACCAGGATTGAACGCAATACTCCAGATGTGGCCTGACCAATGCTTTATATAAGGGCAAAAATACTTCTGCTTTAGTGTTACTCAGCGCCCTCCTAAGACGAAATAATTCGTGTCGTGCTTTATTGGCAGCATGGCGACACTGTGCCGAAGGCTTAATATTGTTCGTCATGATGACACCTAGATCACGTGCTTCGTCAGTGCACCGCAATGATAGAAATCCCACAGGAGACTGAACTGCAATTCCGCTACCACTACTAGTCAATAGTTGACATTTGTTGGCATTTAGAGGTAGGTCCATTGACTTGACCAATTCACCACAGTGAGGATGTCCTTAGCCAATGTCGCACGGTTTCCCCTACTGACCAGCTTCAAGTCATCTGCGAAGATGTAGCAGGGGTCCTCAAGAAGAGGAACCAGGTCATTTATAAACATAAGAAGTAGCAATGGACCCAGAAAAGAAACCTTGAGGGACACCACTGTAGGCATGACCAAAACTAGAACTCGCTTCCCCAACGCTGACTCTGAATGTCCTGCCACGTAAAAATTCAGAGAGCCATAGTAGTAGTTGAGGATGCAATCCAAACCATGTCAGCTTCTCAATTAAAAATCGATGATTCACGGAGTCAAAGGCTTTACTGAAGTCTAAATAGCACACCTCTACCGATATCCCACCATCAAGACAACGGGTAATCTCGTCCATAAAGCACAATAAATTGGTAAGACAAGACTTCTTTTTGAGAAAGCCATACTGTTCCGCTCTAATTAGATTGTGCTCAGTCAAGTGCTCACAGATCCTGTTCCTTATAAGCTTTTCCAAGCATTTCAGCGTGATGCTGGTCAAACTAACAGGTCTATAGTTAAGAGGCACCGACTTAGAACCCCCTTGTGGATGGCAACAATAGTCGCCTCCTTCCAATCACGTGGCAGCTTGCCTTCTTGAAGAGACTGGTTGAATAACTCCACTACGGGATACTGGAAGATATCAGCCAGATGCTTAACTATGGCGGGATGTACGCTATCAGGACCGGCTGATTTATAAGGGTTCAAATTGGCCAGCACTGTGAAGACCTCTGAGACATTGAGAATAATTTCCTGCATTGTGTAGCTAGTTGAGCAGTGCGGCAGTGATGGCAAGGCTGACCCACTATCCTTCCGATGCAGGCTTTGGTAGACACGTAGCAGCACTTCTACTTTATCGACGTCGTCTACAGCCTGGGTACCGTCCTCCATAGTTAGACAGCCGACCACCTCTCTTAAAGAAGCCTTTGACTGGACATAACTGTAATAACACTTGGGATTAGTTTTCGCAAGTTTTGCCAACCTAAGCTCATATGAGCACTTCGCCTGCCGCTTTAACTTAATAGCCATGTTTCGACACCTTTTGTACTGCAGCCAGCGTCGAAAGCCCTGAATTTCTTGATATTTTCTCAACTCAGCATTGCGCCTCTTTATCGCTCTATCAATTTTTCTTCTCCACCATCGGGGTTTCCCAAGATGTCTCCTAGGGCGAAGAGGAGCAAATTCATTCAGCAACTGTACAAGTCCACTTTTAAGTAGAAGCCACCTCTGTTCCAAAGTAGCCTTGTCCTGTTCAGGGACCCAAGTGAGTTGAAGAGCTCGATCCCGCAATTTCGTAAAATCAATACGATTTAAATCCCTTCCCATTCGACGGTTCTCTGCAAGTCTCGGTGTCCAGAGAAAAGGTCAAAACACAATGATCACTCTTACCTCTGGGTGGCTCCAAGCATAGGTCAGTTAAGTGACCATGTCTGGCGATCACGATATCAAGGCTTGAAGGGGTATTCCCAGTACGACTTCTTGTCGGGACATTGACGTATTGCTCGAAGGCATTTACGTGCATCCAATCTACTAGTTCCTTCTCTAAAGTACCCACTCTGTTTTCAGCATGCTGCCAATCAGCATGCGGAAGGTTTAGGTCACCGACGATCAGAAAATTAGGTGCGGCTATTGCCGCCTGTCTTAGTAACATACCAAGATCCCTGTCCACTTCTCGGGTAGAGGATGGACTACGATAAACACATACTATAATCTCCAATTTACATCATTCTGTTAGATAGCAGGATACCGCCTGATACCGCCACCCGATAATGTCTAACTGACGCTCGAAACCCGTAACCTTACATTCCATAACGACATGCTCCAAAAGCGTGTATCAACGTTCACTAATCCGGCGCGTCAAGCGTGTTTCCGTCCTTCACCTTACAGGATGCATTTGGTGCAACTTCAACAGGGGACCTGGGAGACTAGGTAACTTGGCGGGACTAAATAGCCAAGAAAATTCTGGACCGGGCTTACCCGTTAAGCTACAGTCAGCGAGTATCATGTCTCCACTAATGTTGTGGTAGTGTATTGAACACATACCCAAGCTAAACAAACGTTCGGGATACTTTCGCCTCCGTAATCCTTCCACTAACCTTGCACCCACACCCACAAATATCGCCAGTTCCCTTTTGCACCTTACAAGACTAGGTGGACAAGCCAGCATACAATATTCTAAATAGGGTCGCACAAAAGCTGGAAGCAGCTTCACAAAGATAATGGCCATTAGGATACCGAAGGATCGGCGAATAAACCACATCATACGGGCCCTTCCGCAAGCAGCATCCCTCAAATGGTCACCGGAGTGAAGCAATGAGTTGCGGGTGACACCTTGACCAACATGCTGAGTGACAACAAAGATTTCCCTTCCATCAAATACATTGCGCGTGGGCGACTAGCACCTCCAATGCGGAGGACAGAAAACTTCGCCTGATTTGTAGACATCAACCATAAGGTTAACCAATTCCAATGCCAATGCAAGGCACTCTGAATTGCCACGGAGCCCCAGGAATACCCAATAAATAAATAAATAAATAGATAAATTTTTATTCTCGACAATGCGAGGCACACCTTTACAGGCATGATCATACTTAGCTAACATAGTGTGAACAAATTGTACAAAAGGACATGTTTAGCATAACAGTGTATGTAGTATATGGGTGTATATACGTATGTAATTGTGTAGGAATGTAGCTCGTGTTTTTGAATGCGCCGCAGAATTTTTTACTGTTTGTTATCGTCAGGAATGTGGGAATAAGCGATAGATTTTCGTGGATTGGATAGCATATTCCGAATGTCCACGGGCCAGTGACTTTAGTTTGTGGCGAGTCACATCCGCCACGTCGCAGTGTTGTTAAGCAGACATTTGTGGCTTTTTATATGGAGAACGCTTGCCAGGCGAAAACCCACCACGTCCTGGAACACCGCCGCCGAACCATTTGCTGGAACGGGTTAAACCCGAACCACCCAGCTGGCACCACGAGGAGGTTGTTTGGCTTGCCAGCCAATATATTCCAGTGTCTGAGGTCGTCTGCAAGCAATAGCGACAATACTTCAAGCTACTGTGGTTGAGAATTGACATGAATTACGGGAAGTAACGGACCTAGCAACGAGCCCTGCTGGAGTTCACTAAGAACAGGTTGTTTATCAGAAGGGCTACGTCCTACTCTTATACACTGTTCTCTCCTCCCTTGGAAAGCAGACACCCATTTAAGGGCGGTTCTAGATATCCCATAGGCTCAAAGTTGATGAGAGTCGTTGATGTGAGACAGGATCAAAGCCTTTCGAGAAGTCAACGAAAAGCCGGTAGTTAGCTTGACCGTTGGCTATTGTCTCAGCCCAGCTATCACGGGATAAAAGTAAAGTTGTCATACACGATAATCCCTCACGGAATCCTTGTTGTGCTGCACTGCACTGCGAAGGTTACTCAGTTGGTTCTCTATCGAGACCCTGACCAACCTTTTAAACAACTTAACTACTACGTTTGTCATGCAGCCAGGCGGTTAGTTCGCGAGCATGGCCCTGGCACCTCCCTTTAAAAGC